AGTGAACTGCGAGCACTGAAATTGTGAATCCCAAATAAACTTTTTGTCCTTGAAAATTGTTCTTGGGTCTTTTTTATCACAGCAGCAAAACAAAGTTGACTGAAACACCATCTTACCTAATGCCCACTAGTTTCAAGGATTAGTATATGGATATTTCTGGGAGGATTTTTCAGTTTATTACATACACTACTACATAGAAACTCAGATTTTAATGTATATTAAATTCAGTGGCCCTACTTATTCATGTATCCAAACTGCTTATAAATCTTTAAATATTTTTACATTTAAATTTTTAAAAATTCGCTAATTTTTAATATGGATTTTTCTACCTATGATCATGAAACTAATATCATGTAATTGTTTTTTCTTGTCACATTTTGTTATCATGGTTTTGTTTGCATCCATTAATATTTTTATATTTGCTCAGATTTTATGTATTGACAATAACAATATTTTCCTTTTTGATATTAATCTTTTATTCCCTTTTATTCCCTTATATCAGTGGCTAAATATTTCATGAAATATTAAATAAAAGTGCTAATGACAAAAAAGTTAAGATGTCTGTGTCTTTTTTCTCAATCTCTGTGAGAAGCGGATCAGTATTTCAGTATCAATTATGATGATTGATGATGTTATGGTCTGGATCTGAAATATTCCTCAAAGGCTTACATGTTAAAGATTTGATCCCCAATATAGCAGTGTTCAGAAATGGGATTTTCAGAAGTAATTGAATCATGCATTCTCTACACCTCATCAATATCTTGATTAATCCCTTGATGGAGTCATAGCAGAATGGACCATTGGAATGTAGTTGAAACTGTAGGAGGTGGGATCATTGGGGTCATGATCCTCCATCATAATATTGTGCCTCACCACAGGTTTAAAGCAATGGAGCTATTTGACTATGGACTGAAACCCTCTGAAACTATGAGCCAAAGTAATATTTCCTTCTTTGATTTGCTCAGGTATTTTGCCACAGCAATACAAAGCTGACTAACAAGGAGATGATAGATGTGTATATGCCATTTCCAATATTAACTAAATTTTCTTTATTCTAGTTGGCCTGACTAAGGCGTAAATAAGTTTTAGGTGTTATTAATTTCTTGGTACATTTATTTAGTACTTTTCACTTTTATTCTGTGAATGTAATAAATTAGATTAATTTTCAAATGTTAGAGAAATACAACATTCATGAAATAGATCCACTTAGCCAAAATGTAGTGAATTTTGGATATATCTCCGGTTAAATTTGCTTTTTTAAAATATGGCTTTTTCTATCTATGATCATGAAACTAATGTCATGTAATTTTTTCATTGTCACATTTTGTTATCATGAATTTATTTGCTTCTTGCTTTATCAAGTGTTGGTCTTTATATGTTTTCTCATGCAATTTATATAAAATCAGTATTATTTCTTCCATAGTGTTTTGATTATTTCACTAGAAAAGCCTCCTCTCTGTGTGTGTGGCCAGGTGTGGGGGGAGGGAGGGCGGGAGAAGTTAGGATGATTCCTTTAAGAGATAGGTATATTAATATTTTCTGTGTTTTATGTCAGTCTTGGTGAGTCAGTCATGCAGGTCCATTTTATCCAAGCTTTGCTTTTTATTTGTAAATAATTACAGACTCATAGAAACCACCTTTTCCTACCTTCTCCCATGGGAAGATCATATAGATTAAAATTATTGTATAATATAAAAACCAGGACTAGATTTTGTTGGCCTAGGTCCTATTGTGTTTTCATCTTAATCCATATGCAACAAAATGAAATTAAACCCCTGTCTCTCACCATGCACAAAACTCAACTCAAAATGGATCAAGGATTTAGGAATACAATCAGAGACCTTGAATTTAATAGAAGAAAAAATAGGCCCTAAGCTCCATCATGTGGGATTAGGCCCCAACTTCCTTCATAAATCTCCTGTGGCATAAGAATTAAAATCAAGAATCAATAAATGGAATGGACTCAAACTAAAAAGTTTCTTCTCAGCAAAAGAAACAATCTGTGAGGTAAATAGAGAGCCTACATCTTTGGAGCAAATCTTTACCCCACACACATCAGATAGAGCACTAATCTCTAGGGTATATAAAGAACTCAAAAAGGTAGACACCAAAAAATACCAAATAACCCAATCAATAAATGGGCCAAGGACCTGAAGAGACACTTCTCAAAAGATGATGTACAATCAATCAACAAATATATGAAAAAATGTTCATTAGCAGTTAGAAAAAATGTTCACTAGCAATTAGAAAAATACAAATCAAAACCACTCTAAGATTTCATCTCACTCCAGTCCAAATGGCAGCTATTAAGCATATAAACAACCATAAGTGTTGGTGAGGATGTGGAGAAAAAGGCACACTCATACACTGCTGATGGGACTGAAAATTACTGCGGCCCATATGGAAAGCAGTACGGAGATTTCTTGGAAAATTGGGAATGGAAACACCATTTGACCCAGCTATCCCTCTCCTCGGTCTATACCCAAAGGCCATAAAAACAGCATACTACACGGACACAGCCACATCAATGTTTATAGCAGCACAATTCACAATAGCTAAACTGTGGAGCCAACCTAGGTGCCCTTCAATAGATGAATGGATAAAAAACTGTGACATATATACATAATGGAATATTACTCAGCAATAAAAGAGAATAGAATCATGGCATTTGCAGGTAAATGGATGGAGTTAGAGAAGATAATGCTAAGAGAAGTTGGCCAATCCCCAAAACACAAATGCTGAATGTTTTCTTTGCTATAAGGAGGCTGATTCATAGTGGGATAGGGAGCAGGAACATGGGTTGAATAGATGAACTCTAGATAGGGCAGATGGGTGAGAGGGGGAGGGAGGGGGCATGGCATTATTAATGATAGTGGAATATGATGATCATTATTATTCAAAGTACAGGTATGAAGACACGAATTGGTGTGAATATACTGTGTATACAACCAGAGATATGAAAAATTGTGCTCTATATCTGTAATAAGAATTGCAATGCATTCTGCTGTCATATATAAATAAACAATAAACAAAAATTTTAAAAAAACATGCACTTGTGTTTATAAATAGTTTTATAAATTATAAATAGTTTTAACTATTCTATAGATTTGGTAACCACTAGCACAATCCAGACACAAAACATCTGCCCTGCTGTCCTTTACATTTATACCCCATGCCCTTTTCTGTCTTCATAGTTTTTATTTTTTTCATTTTGACAGTGCCATATAAATGAAATCATACAGATGTAACCTTTTGATTTTTGCCTTTTTTCAATAAGTGTAATGCCATTGAGATCAATTTGGGTTGTTGGATGTATCAAGAATTTATTCCTTTTTATTACTGAGTGGGATTTCATTGTACAGGTGTACTGGAGTTCGTTTATCCAGTCAACCTTTGAGAGACATTTAGTTTGTTTACAATTCTATGCTATTATGAGTAAAATCTATAGGGATATTTACATACAAGTATGTGAACGTAAGTTTTCATTTCTCAGGGATAAATATCTAAGAGGGTGATTCTTTGGATGTGTGTTAAGTATCAATTTAGTTTTAAAAGACAGTGCCAAACGTTTTTCCAGAATCACTTTACCATTTTATCTTTACATCAACAATGTATGAGACAGTTTTTTCACAATAGAACACTTCTTACATTCTTTTAGCCATATTAGTAGATATGTAGTGATAACTCATTATAGTTTTAATTTGCATTGAACTTGAAAATCTATTCATGATTTCATTTATTATTGTATTCTCTCTTTTGTGAAGCATCTCTCCAACCATTTTACCTATTTTCTAATTGCACTGTTAGTTTTCATATGGTTGAGTATAAAGGATCCTTTCTATATTGAGGATGAAAATTTTTTATCAGATATGTGATTTGCAAATATGTTTATGTTTTATAAAATGTTTGTCCTTTCATCACTTTATGAAGGCATTTTACAGTACAAAAGTTTTTAATTTTGATGAAATTCAGTTTACCAATTCTTCCTTTTATGGTTCATGTCTTTGGTGTCCTAACTCTAAAATCACAAATATTTTTCTCCTAAGTTTTTTTTCTAAAAATACTATGTTTATATTTTATATTTAGACGCATGAACATTTTTTAGTTCAATTGTGTAGAGAGTGTGAGATTTAGTCACAGGTTCATTTTTTTTTCCTTTTTGCCTGTGATTATCCAATTGTTCTAAAACCAAATGTTAAATTGTTTACAATTAATTGTGTTTATAATTTTATCACATTAGTCGATATATTTGTGTAGATGTATTTCTGGGTCTTTTATTTCATTTTATTGATATGTATGTCTACTATTCTTCAATATAACACTTTCTTACTGTGCTATATAATAGTTCTTAACAAGAGAGTATTTTTTCTCATTTTATTCTTTTATCTTTATTCTGATTGAGCAGATATGAAAATGATGAAATTTAAACTACTAGTGGAGACAAGCATAATAGCAAATTTTTACTCCAAAAAAAAAAAATCCTCAAAAGGCTTAGGGATTGGTGGCATCAACTTCAACAGGGAATGGGTATGGAGGAACAACTACAGTACACCTCCATTGCATGACACTAGGCAATTGTCTACTAGAAAAATTCTGTCGTTAATTCTCAGGACTAGGAGTAATAGAGGTCATTGAAGGAAGAAAAATTAATTTCAAAAGAAGGAAACTTAGCCAAAACTACCTATAAATTTTGAACGTTGAGTTTCCCCACCTCTCATTGCCTATGTGGCTTCTAGAATTCTGATAGGTAAGCCTGTATTATCCAGACATGCAAAGGTAAAGAAGAATCTTGTTCTTGTCTAATTGCTGCTTTAGGTTTTGTTTTTGTGCCAAAATTCTGTCTTTCAGTTTAAGTTGACTCAACCCATGTAATCAGAGTTGATGCATAAGAAATTGGGCCTGGGTAATTTTCAAAATAAATTCCATTGATTCATAGTAAGTCAGAAGATAAATATCATTTTTTCTTTTCAATGTGGATAAAATTAACTGTTTTCTCTTAGGAAAGACCTGGTTAAACTTAACAACTTATTTATTCGCTACTCTACATCAATAAAAAACACCAATATTCATATAGAAGAAAAACAAGAGATAATGAATGAGACATTGAAAGAAACAAAGTCATCAAAAGAAGAAATGGCTTCTTTGTCAAAAACCGTGAGTTTTTCATATTTAAAAATAAAAATAGTGATTTGGTTTTGAGTGATGAGTAGTAAATTTTCTCTGTCAATAACTCAATAGCATGTAACCAGTTTTCTGCTCATGTTAATTTTCTATTGTTGCATAAAAAAATTACCCCAACTCTAGTAGCTTAAAATCGTCACTGTTTATTCTCTTGATGTTTCTCTGTCTGAAGTCTGGGCACAGTATGGCTAAACAGATTCCTCTGCTCCAGGTCTGGCAAGACTGAAATCAAGGTGCCAGCACCCCTTCATTTTTTTCTGGAGATTCTGGAATGAATCTGCTTTGGGGCTGAGGTTCTTGTTTTCTTTGTGGCTGGCTGAGATCTTCTCTAAAGCCAGCAATGATGTGTTGAGTCCTTCTCCTGCTTGGAACCACATTGAACTCCCAGTATGATGGCATCTGTCCTGAAGACGAGACTTTCTTCTGTCATATCTCATTCACTGTAGTAAAAGTAAATAGTAAAATAATTAAAGGAAATAATAGTATAGTAAAAGGAAATAATATACAATTCCTGTCTATGTGCATTCCTACCTAGAAATAAAAGACCCCTTGACACTTTGGATTATAATACAAGATTCCTTACTTGCATCTTATTATGATTTACTAACTCAAAGTTATCAGTGGAGTTGGGCATATTTTAATAGTTTTTGATGATTATTTGCATTCCTTTTCCATAAAAAACTTGCTCATGGTTTTCCTCCATAGATGGAGTGACTTTTTGTATTTTTTCTGAATTTTAAGAATTTGTTGAATACGATGGATACTAGACATTTTAAATGACATATGTTAAAAATTTCTTTATGATAAATTCTGATAAAGGGCAGTTTAATTTTAATGTGTTATAAGTTGTAAATGCCTTACTTTTGAACTTTGTACTGTCATAAAACTTTTAAAGAAATTTTCCCCACTCCAAGTTTATAAAAATATCTTCTAGTATTTTATTATGAATGCATTTGAATGGTACTTTTTATTCTGCTTTTTGGTGAAGCTGTAGATGAGTGGTCAAAACTAAGTGATTTACCCTCTTACTCTATCTTTTGTTGACAAGTAAAGAAGTAATAAACTATTTCTAGAATTTTTGAAATGCATATTTCACTTGCCAGACGTGAAACATAAAATTAATATGTGGATATAATTATGATGTGAAGTGAAGTTTCAATTAATTTTTTTCTAATGTAGAAAACTAATTTTAATAATCTATGGTGTGTTTTTCTTTACATTTTAATGCTCAGATGTCTCTCTCATAGACATCAGGCTTCCATATTTGTGTGGATCTTTTTTTTTTTTTTACTTTTTACATTATTCATTCTATTTGATCATCTTTGCCTCAACAGTCTATGTCTACATCACTAAACTTATGTAATGAATTTTATCATAATGAATTATCCAATCTTGTATTTCTTATTGAGTTCTATGACATTCTTGACTCTTGCTCTTCCATTTAAATTTCAGCATTATCTTGTTTATTTCCTTAAGAAAATTTGTTGGAATTTTAATTTAACTGCATTCATTTATGGATTATTTGGTGGGCGGGGAGATGAAATCATTATGTTAAGGATTCCTAAACGCACCCATAATCTCTCTCTTAATTTATTTATGTAGTTTTTCTAAGTTGCACCTTAACCAATTTTCTTATAACTTATGAGCATGCAAACTCTTTGCAAAATCAGCCTGTGATTAGTCTTAGATAAATTAAATCTTCCGTCAAATTTTAGCTATTTTAAAATTAATTTTAATATAATTATGGCATGTTCACAAATGTGGTTTATATAACCCAAATTCTTTAAATTTATTAATAAAGGTTTACTTTGTATACTCATATATGGAATATATATATATATATATATATATATATATATAAATATTTCATTAGGAGAAAACATTTTTTTCTAATTTGGGGACATTCTTCTATGTGGGCTCATTTTGCCAGCTATACTAATTGTGCTATTTAAATCTTATGTTTCCAATTTATTTTCTTATTGATGTATCAGTTACTCTGAGAGCTATTTAGAATATTTTAGTAAGACACTGGATTTCTCTATAAATTTTTTCAGTTCATTTTTTTCATGTAATTTGAATACATAGTTTTTGATAAAATTAAGTTAAAGATGTTTGGAATTGAGCCTTTTCTCCCCCATTTGTGTATCTGTGTATGTGTGTGATGCTAAGGATCTAACCTAGGTGTTGCATAATTTAGGCAAACACTCTACCACTAAGTTGAATTTTCATCCTCCTGAGCTTATTTTTTAAATGCTTTCTATTTATAAAATTTAAAGTTATAAATTACTAGAATATTTGGAATACATATTTCACTTGCCAGATATGAATCATAATCAGCACCTTTAACTCCTTCCTGGACAGTTTCACGGATTGTATGATCCTTTCTGACATATACTTCATTTTCTACCATTTCATGTGTATTTGATTTGTTAATTAATTTATTAAGATAGCTTATTTACACAATAAATTTACACAATAAATCCTTTTTCATATTTTTTTCCCAGATGAACATGTTTTTTACTCTTTTCTAACTCCTTATTATTATTAGACCTTTCTAGTTGGCCTTATTTTTTCCTACTTAAAAATTTATTAACTTTTTGTAAGAGAAAGTCTAGATTTGAGAGTCTCAAAATTTTTTATCATTCATTTTTGTTTAAAAAAGGTCTTTTCTTTGTTCTCATTCATGCAATGTAGGGAATATACACGAGTGATATGAGAATAGCTGGTACCTCTGGATAGGTAATGGAAGAGAACCTAGTAATAGACAAGACTGAAAACAGAAAACTTAAAAAGAAAAAAATACTAAAGTAAAAAACACTGAACTGAAGTACTACAGGAGATGAGATGGGATCAGAGTTGCAAGAAACTGATTTTGGAACAGATACTATTACGGATCTTTCTGCAATTTGCCCTACCTTTCTCTCCAGCCTCTCTCTTGCTATTCCTTTCCCTCTAACTCTATATTCTCACCACCTGGGACAACTTGACGACCCCAGAATGCACCACATGCTTTTTTTTTTTTTTCTTCCAGTTTTTCACAAACACTCTTCCCTCTGAATGTAACATTTTTCTAAGTTATCCTCTCAGTCTGGCCACTGTCTGGCTGAGGCCTCTTAGTTTAACTTAGAAAGCAGAAAATCCTTGCAGCAACCCTGTCTTCACTTTCTTTTGTCTGCTTTGAACTCTAATTGCACTCTGTTTACCCCAATATTTCACACTTACGGCATCCTATTGAAAACAATGATTTGCTTGGTTAAGGACAAGAGATACATTGTAATTTTTGTTTAATTTCTGAGTAATTTGCATTGTGCCTATAAACAATAAATGCTGGTTAAGGAAGAGAGTATTTAATAAATGGAAGAAAAGGAAGAAAGAAGGAAGGGAGAAAAGAAGGATAAACTTGGGTCAGGTAAAAGAGGACCTGGTCCTGGAAATGTCTTCGTGAGGGTGAATGAAGAACAGGGACGTTCACGTAAATTTTGATGAATTCTGCATGTAGCTTTCCAAAATTCTTTCTGAGGCATTACTGTAAGCACCAGGGAAGTATAATACAATCAATACAAGTTTTAAAATTATTATATAATGTTATTAAGTATTTATAAACTCAGTTTTATAACCATGCTTAAACTTGTCATCTATGCTAATATCCCCATTAGCAAAATATTTTCAAAAGGGAAAAATTTATTTATTTACTAAACCTACAGTCACCCCCTTTTTTAAAATTTCATTGATCATCTCTAAAATGGCAAGTCTAGTCCTTCTTAATTTGGTGTCAGAACAGTGTTATTTCTGATGAGAGATTATGAGTGTATTCATAAAGTTACTAATATTTATTTTTCAATTATAGAAATCATTTGGGAGCTATCATACCTTCTAGGGAAGATGAGAACATGATGAAATTTAGATATATTAATTTTTTCTGCACTTTGCTCATTATAAAAGCCTTTAAGCTACATTGTCAAAGAGCACATGTTAAACACTCAATTAAAAGCAATGATGTGCATTATTGCCATGCATTATTTTTTGGTATGCAATTGAAACTTCTGGTTCAAGAGAAAAATAAGATTTGTGCTGCCTAATTGCACATATAATTCAACTGATTTTTTAAATTTTCAAGGCATATTTTGCTTCCAATTTAGAGTCTTAACCTCATGAATATAGAGTTTTCCTAATTTGTGTTATGCTTAGATCTATGAAAACATATTTTCCCCTTTCCATGTCTATAAACAGTAGCTTTGGTAACTCATAAACACCTTAAAATTGGTTAAATATTTTAAAGTAATGTCAAAATTAAATTCAATTTTAAATGTAAAAGTATAGGCTTTTCTGTATATATCTTTGTTTCTTTCTAGTAATTTTCCCATAGTTCAGAAATTTTTCAGAAAATAATTGTTACCTGAAGCTCTTAGCTTTTTGTGGTACAAAAAATATCCATCTACAATTTATTCTCTCATTTAATAAAATAACAAAAATGTCTTTAAAGATTTAAAAATACCTATGATTTTCATGTCATTGAACAAAATGACATAGACATACAAATTTATTTTTCATAATTTAATTTGCAGATAAAGGTAATAATTTATCTACAAAGCAGATAAGTAGATAAGTAGACTCCTTTTGTATAGAAACTTGCAATTTTCATAATTTTTGGATAATGTTTTTGTTACTAGAAAGCTGTTTTTTATGACTAGTCTACCTGCCTATATCTGTACAGTAGGAATACTAACACTGCAAATCGTCCACCCTAAGGTGCCTTTTATTTCATTTTTTCCTCAATATCTTTCAAATTAAACAATTTTCTTCTCAAAATATAGATGAAACATAATTATTATTAACAATTTACTAAATAGGAAACCTGCTTAGTTAGGCTGTGTGATTTTCTCACAAACACAAAGCTAGTAAGTGGTAGAGCTAAATGCTAAGTTAGTATTTTGGACTACAAAAATATTATTTTTTATACAGTATTCATATGT